TTTAACTCTGGCCCACGATTAACCAGGCCTGGTATTCGAATTACGGCTTTAGAGTTCAGAGAACAGATTGAATTCTTATTAGCGGGGAGAAGCTCTCGTGACTATCAATGTGGGGAGGGTTTATTGTTTACGGTGTGAGGGGACAGGCCACGCATGGTGGAAAAAAGAAGAGAGAGAGAGATTCGGAGGGAGAATGGGTCAGCTGGCAGGCCGATACAGGAAGCCCTGCTGCTGGTCTGTTATCTGACCAGGAAACACCCAGCGAAGGAATCAAACAGGGGGTCCAGGAAGAAACAGCCAAGTCTCCGAGTCTCCTGTCTGCTCCGTGTTTGCTTAGCCGGGGCCCCCAGTTTGCCACAAAAAAATAGAAAGGAGGGGGGATTGGAGAGCAGTCCCTAGCTGGGCCACTACCAGCTTTGACATGGGGGAGGGGGCCATCGTTCTGTGAGTGTTCCCTTGCCGTGGGACTGATGACGGACATGAGAGGCAGCCATTAACATACTCTTCTTCTGAGTCAGAAATGGACTCCCTCGGTCAGGATCCACAGCGCTTCACATGCACTCAGTCTCTTTTCCGTTCTCATCTGTTTCGAGTTTGCTGTCGGCAAACAATGAGTATGCAGCGCCATTAGCACATCCTTTGCGCCCCTGTGTGATTCCTATGATGCTTTTTGATTCAACGGTTTATTTTTAATTCCAGTTCATATATTTTTTCATATTGTGGCATTCAGCTTGTGTAAAATATTCAATCTTTGATTCCTTTTCTAAAAGGTGAGGGGGGTAGGAAGTAGTGTAATTTACTGCTGTGTGTACAGAACAGCCCCTGAAGTACAGATGTTATCCCCTGTAAATCCATCTGCTTCACCCCAGGCTTCACCTCTGCAGAAGCATTGTTTGAGCCTGCGTGCTTGCGAGTGAAGCCAAAGTAAATATTAGCGAAAAACGATCACTAATCTGCCTTTCACTTGTGGTTAATTCTTGCGGTTAATTCTTGTGGTTGTGTAAACAAAAACAAAACAAAAGTAAAATTGAAGTGTCCAGAAACTGTTTTGCAAAATATATATGAATATAAACTATAATATCCATTTCCCACCCACTATGGGGTTTCCTAAAGCCTATCGGAGACAGGGGGCACCCCACACAGGACTCCCATCCATCACAGCACACCCACCGTTACATACTATGTGCAATTCAGGGATGCCAACTTATCTGGAAGATCTGAAGTACCCAGAGGAAACCCACAACTCGATGAGCCATACAAACTCCACACACACGGGCAGCTGGTGTGTGAATCAGTCTGCATGCTTGTGGTCAGAAGGTCGCCAGTTTGATTCCTGTGCTTAGGAGAGTAGCCACATGGGCTCTTGATCAAAGCCCATAACCACCCCCAGAACAATGGACCTGGGGAGCTGAATAAATGGCTGATGTTGTGCTCAGAACCCAACCTATAATCTGAACTGTGTGTCTCAATGGAGAGCAAGATGGGATATGAGGGGAAGAGCTGATGTACCTGGAATAATATGATGTCAATATGTGTCATTACAGGGTGGGGGGGCAGGGCTCAAACCAACTGTGCTACCTACAGAGCCACGCTGCTAGCTAGCATGCTAATTCAGCTAACAGAGTAAAACTAGTCCAAAAATGGGCTTGATTATCTGCTCCCTCTTCAGTTGTTTTGCTGGGAGTCATTCTTCCCTTTCTAAATCGAGCCAGGTCTCGACACCTGTCCACCGCTGACCTTAGGCTCCCTCCGGGAAAAACAGCGGCGGCCCCTGCTGCCGTGGGTGGGGGGCCCCTTGATCACGGCCCCGCTGACTGCAGGGATTTCCTCTAGCTGCAGGGAGAGTTTACACCACGGTCTGCGGTCCCAGCTGAAACAGGGAGGAAATTACCCCATTGTTTCCCTGTCTTACTCCTCACTTCCCTTCAGCTCAGGGCAGACCTGTTTACTCACACTAGGACGTTGTTTTAGGCAAAACAAGGGCACTCTCTTTCAGAGCATTTAACAATACATATGCAGACTAAACAGATCTGTAAACTGTGCCTATGTAAGGCACATACCTAAAGATAAGGAAGAAAACTCTTTTATAAATGGTTATATACTATTTATAGCAATCAGTAGTGGATAAGCAGATTTTAAATTTTTAGATGTATATATCGCATTTTGTTTTTTTAGTATTCGCTTTTATTCAAATAGACACACAATGGAGAAAGCAGGGTCACCCAGTCCTTGTAGGCAAATGGGGGTTAGGGTCTTGCTCAAGAGCCCAACAGTGACATCACTCTGCTGGCCACAGGATTGGAACTGGCGACCTTCTGATCACAGACACAACATCCCCCACATTATGATATGTTACTGCAGTAATTCATATTAAACTATTAATTACTCTAAGAGAATGTAACCTTCTGCCAGTCTGGTTGCAGTTGGAATAGCTATAAGCTTTGGGTTGGAATAAACTGCAACAATGATGAACATTAGTGAATCGGGGAACATTTCAATTGTCAAGCACCACTTTTCTGCATCATCAAATCTCTCCACAGGGTGGTGTGAGGCCTTGTGGGTTAGGACTCTGTGTTTGTGTCCGGGAGGATGCCAGTTCAGATCCCATGGCTGACTGAGTAGCCATAGCACCATCGTGCCCTTGACCATACGCAGTGATCTTACAAGCTGTACACATTTCTGATGATATTAGTGTTGTATTTTTGCTTTGTTTCCAGTATGGAATTACATTCAATGTAAGGGACATGCAGGAGGAGGAGGGACCTGAGCACCTGCCCCTTTTGCCAGAATGTTTAAAAGTAAACCCCCCCCCCCGAGATCCTGAGTGGTTCTCAATTACTGACCATCACCGACTTAGCAAACTGCAGCCTGGTCAAATTTTCTTGACAAAATTTACCCAACCCAATCAAGCACTTACAACCCTCATAAGTCCCTACCTGGCCCTGTCTAACGTACTCACCAAAATCAGTTTCTGTAGTACAGTCTGTTAAAATTGAAGTTTCAAAGATTTGTTGTCATGTGTATATAACTTGTGCCAGGACAATTTGAAGAATAATATATAACGATAAACAGATAAACTGTTGACAACACTCCACATACACATAGGAACAACACAGAGGTCAAATCTGCGGAAGAAAGTGACAGACTGTAGGAGCGGAAACTATTTTAGAGCATAATTAGCATTTATTTGGGAACCTAATTACAAAAGCTGTATCCTTCTATCTTGAGGTCACAGTTCAGTGTGTCTTCTACCGTCTGCCAGAGTGGAGCACAGCAAAGGGTGACAGTGTGGGGTGACCAGTGCCCTTTGTGACACTGGCTGCCTTCCTAAGGGGGGGGGGGTGACGTATAACTTTGACTAACCTTGAGCTGAGGGTCTTCACCACCCACTTTGGCCAAATGCTTCAGCATTAAGTTATCTGGGTGCCCCAGGCTAACATCAGCATGGAACAAATCCTGTGGTAACCTGAGAGCCCTGGGCTAGGAGGCGCTCTCCCAAACGGGCCGCTTGAGCTTTGAGCCAAAAGAGAAGCGAGACAGAATAAAAAAACAACGTAACGTTGATAATCTGCTAGGTTGCTGCTGGGAAAGCTGGTCAGGCTGGGGGGCCCATGTAAATTAATCTGCAGCCCCCATTTTATATGTTTAAACATTCTATAAGATAGCTGATACATGAATGCGTCCCTCTCCGAGGCCTTACTCTGAGGCCCGTCTCCGAGGCCCGTCACCGAGGTCCGTCACCGAGGCCCGTCACCGAGGTCCGTCACCGAGGTCCGTCACCGAGGCCCGTCACCGAGGTCCGTCACCGAGGCCCGTCACCAAGGCCCGTCTCGTATCAGGCAGCTGTCATACCAGGATATAATGCCATTGGTGAGGAGTGACTCTGCAGCATATCTGTAAAAGTTCCTCAGAATTGGTGGTGACATTCAGATCTTCCTTAGACAATTCTGGACGTTCCAGGCACTGAAGGACCTTCTTCAAGACTGACCAGAAGCAGGTTTGTTGTTTTTTTGGGACCCCACTCAAAAAGCCACTTTTGGGCCTCCCACCTCCCAATCAGATACTTTAAAAACTAAATAAATAGCTAGTGAGTAGAGTCAGAAAATCGTAGATACCTAGCTAATGAGCAGAACCTGTGCTTCAGCAGCTCCTAAATAAGGACCTTATTTATTTAATATCTAGTGTAGTGACTGTTCATGTCCAATAGGGGGCCCCTAAACCTCAGGGGCGCCATGCAACCATCTGCTGCTGCCACATGTGATTAAGTAAGGGTGAATCTCTGAAGCTTAAAGGTCCCACCCTTCTCAGTAGCATCCCTGCCAATGTATATGGGAATACATGGGAGTTTTACTCACACAAAAATGGCAGAAGGAAAAATGTTTGGTTCAGAGAGACAACTAATGTGATTGGAGAGAAGGTGGATCCAAGCAAGTAGAAGAGGCGGGACCAACCAATGAGATGTTTTGGTCCAACCTCCTCTAATTGTTTGGACCCACCTCCTTTACAATCTGATTGGTTATCTCTCTGAACCAATCATTTTTCCTTCTACTCTCAGAGCACTTTTATGTAAGTAAAACTCCCACGAGTGCTACCATTCAGCAGCTGTTTTTCTTGACATCACTCCTTCAGGATCCTTTTACGCTTCATAGACAAACTGAAAACATTTATATTTTGCTGGCAAGCTCAAAACAGGTATTGAAAGGTTTCAGGAAGTTGGCAGTGAATTTCTGGTAACAGGGAGCTGGTTGAACGGTTTGTAATCCATGAATATTCAAATGACCCACCCTATTACCCAGGTGTTGCAATACCTTGTTTCAGGTTTATCATGGTTTAAAATTGTCATATATGTAAGAGTTTTCTCCTGATCACACCTGCATGTCTTACAGTTGGCCATATCATCAGACTGGAATGCGTTGGTGTGTGATGGGTTAAAATTCAAACAATAAGGGCTGCTTTATTTGGTTATATAGTAACTCATTAACTTCCTGCAACAGAGATAGTTTAGCCTTAAACAACTTCCAACCTTTGAACCCGAAACCTTAATTTTAAAACACAATAATATATTCCTTAAAAGTCACCACAAAAAGATCAAGGGGTTACAAGGACAGGTGAACCTAGCGCCAGGTATGAATGACTATTTTGTCATCTTTCTGTATTTATATCTGTTTCGTAATAGTTCATATAGTAAACATAGACAGTAAGTACATATGACAACCAGCTTTTTTCGCTGTTTCTCATGATTTGGTGCTTCTGAAACGACAGGACATTCAAGATCGAAACTATGTGTTGCTGCTAAATTTACTGTTTGCTGTTTTTAATGTTCAACGTGAAAAAATAAACAGCATTTTTTTTTGTTATTGCTGAATAATTCTTTTAGCTTAGCCCCTTTGAGCCATAGTCTGAAATGTCCCATTTAATTTTAACCAAGTTTAACACATTTTTATGGAACCTTGAATAATTGAAAAGGAACAAAGGGTACAGATTTAATACTAACTTAATCAAGTTAGGTTATGAGTAAATTAATAAGATAATTTAGATTTATTTATTTGTCTTAAAGGATATATTTTTGTTATATAAGAATAGGTGTGACCCTTGAAAGAGTCAGCGTCTTGTAGTTTTAGAGCAACGATTGTTAGTTTGAGTACAACCTGGACCACTTTTGTGAAGAGACGTGATACTCCACAAGGTACTTCTTGGGTTTTTCCTGCCAGGACTTTGTCAGAGACAGACTCCTTTGATGCCATGTTGATGCACGATGTTTCTACTATCTCTAGATTAACTAAGCTGTAAGCTTGGCAGTTGTGATGAAATATCCAGACAGTAATTTGAGGCCCCATGATTTTCTACAAAAAAGTATTGTGTTTCAAAAAACAAAAATCCTATATATCTTCTCAGTATTTATGGGTGCCTCTAGTGTTTAGATTATAACCTTTTTTCTTATTGTCAGGAAAACAAGGTACTTTGGGAAAGTAGGTCATCCCGGTCTACACTGGGAAATGGCAAGTAGGGCAATGCAGAGAGTGAGTGTGGTTTAGCTCTGTGCAGTAGGTCACCAGCGGGGTCACGCGGGTACCGTTTTCCGCGGGACTTCCGCGGAGTTGAGAGAACCCGGGGAACATAATCGCTGTCACTGGTGCGAACGGCGCTAATGGCATCTCGCCGAGGGCCCTGGGAGAGTCAGGGAACCGGCCGCTCCTCGCACATCTCGGCGTGTTGTTGTACGAGAACAGGAAGAGATAAAAACAGGGCCCCTTTCTGGGTGTTTATGGGTAACAATGCACAATTCAATGGGAGGCAGAGCGGAGGGGAAGAGGCCCGGTGGCACGCTCCCAAGAAAGTGGAAATTGGGAAGCCGTCAAGCATGAAATATGCACACCCCGTGTCGGAGTGCAACAACACAGCCGGCTTGATTTGATCAAACTGCACATGCTACAATGATAATCATTTCAATATAACATAATATAATTTCTGGTTACATTAACTATTGCTGTTAGGCTCGCTGTAAAGAAATGCTTTCTGGATTTAGTGTGGAATTCACCTGCAAAATTGCACAGCCGTATTTGTTCTATAGCTATGCTGTATGTGGCTGTACTAGACGACACTGCTACTGCTACTGTACCATGAAAAACGACTCTTGGAATAACCTTTCATGAATGACTCATGAGCCTCATGTTTGTTTATGCGTTACACAGAAGGGCTGCCGTTTGACATTGAGTCAAGGTTGAAGGCTTCCTGGATGAATAGGGTTTTTGTTGAGATTTTAATGAAATTACCGATATCGACCCAATTGTGACAGGAAAGATGAGTCCTCGAACCTGGAAAGATAACTGGTGTGATTCATCCCAAGATAATTCAGTGCTTATCAGCTTATCATCCACCCAGTCATCGTCCATAACAGCCTTTCCTGGAGCCTGGCCCCAGGAAGCGCAGGGCACAAGGCATACGAAGCCATAGTTGGGATGGTACACTCCCAGACACAGTTAGAGTCAACGTTTCTCCTAACTGCACATCCAGAGCCGGGGTGAGGAAACAAACCTGCATTCATGGAGGTCTGAGGTGGCAGTGTCACCCAATGACTATGACAATGTCCCTGACTTGAGTTCCCTTGGGAACTGATGATTCAGAGCTAAATTATGGGGCTGGGAGGCGACGTCTCGCAACTCCAGTTCCGACTCCTTATGTCAGACAAAGGAGCAGCACTGCAAGAAACAACACAGGGATTTCCCACTTTCGCCTGGGATGGGATCCAGGCTCCACGGCAACCCTACTCAGGATACGCGATTAGAAGATGGCTGGATGGATGGATGGATGGAGCAGTTTACACTGGTTTACCTGTTTCCATCTTTAGCAGACCTATATCATATGTGGGTTCTGTTGAAGGTACTTTGAAGAATTGAGATGATTCTCCATACTCAAAATAGATGCCATAATAGCACAATTAAAAGCAATCCTAACCCATTGTCATATTGTGTTGTTACAAGCTGAGAGCATGTCCAGGTCTAATGCATCTTGCTTCAGCATCTGTTAGTGACGTTCTGCTGAATCTGTTCATTTTATAGCCATCAGGAGGGAATGGAGATTCCAGGTGTTACTCCCAGTATTGTTTTGTGCTTCTTGATGACACTTATCTGCAACATGCATCACGTCTCCGTTGCCATCTGCACTGTCAGCACCAGTGAGGTAGGAGAGATACTGACACATTTTTTTTGTGAGTTTCAATGCAGAAATAATAGTTACACCAGGAATATCCTGTTTGTAAGCATTTCCTGTTTTTATGACACAGATCGAGTTTATTCTGAGTGAACTGTGTTTATGCCCCATTTAAAGTGACACTTGAACAGTTTTTCAGCTTAAAGTGTTTCCAGTTGTTTTGTTTCCATTTTAATTAAGTGACCTTGCCTGCAATTTCCTTTGATACCCCACTACTCACTATTGAAGGAGATGTAAATATACTATTTTGCAAGTTGTTATGGAACTGCAGTAATTACAGTGATGTAAATTAATTTTTATATTGCAGATGCATTACTGGAAATACTAATTGTGCGTTTACTCAAAGGTACTTGAAATGACCTTTTCTGGGGGCTGCTGTATTTGGACTTTTAAAGATGGACTTTCATTTTAAAGGATGTCTTTCAACTGCAGAAATAATAGCTTCTCAATTCTCCCAAGCTAGATGTGGGATAATGTAAATATGCTAGACTCCTTTCAGAACAACCCGGAGTTGACTGAAGGGTCCGCAAAGGTTGAACTGATTTGTAATGCTGAATCTATCGAGGAACTACCTCCCCCTGCTGGAGAAAGACAGCCTAGACACCGACTAACTCCCATATGTGTTAGACCTTATCAGAAGCCGGATGAAAGACACAGAGTTTGGAGCATTATAGGTTTTACCCAAATTATAAACAACGCTTCAAAGAAAAACTGCAAGACTCCCTACGCAATTCTGTGATATATCTGACAACGTTATCCTTGTAGGACCTCTCGCGAAACAACGAACTCAAAAGCAATCCACTGGAAAACATCGCGAACGCGTCACGGCCTGCAGACACAGCGCCAGGAAATCGATCTCAAGGTATGTGTCAGCTTTTCATACAACTTCGAATCACACAGCAAACAGCAATCAGCAGACTGTTTTCAGCTTTACAGAAGTAAATAAAAATCACTTAAACACCTTCAACCTCTTTTGAAATAAATTTCAGGAAGAAACTGAAATTCCCAGAAGAAACAGAACAGATAGCTATTGTAAGATTTTTTAAATAGGTTTTTCATTAACTGTAACGCTAATCACTTTGGTAACACTTTACTGAACGGGGCACAAATACTTAGTAATAAGAATTAATACTCAAGTACAAATTATGAACAAATCATAAAGAAATATAGTTGCTACTAGATAAAAAAATGCATCACAATTAATTACTGATGAACAAACATGAGATCGGTATTTCACTTGTGTTATTCGTTACTTGTTCCTTTAGTGTTTCCTTCAGTAGTTTACAAAGGTTTAGAGAATTAACAGACATAGTAACAAATATAGTAACTCTTTGGGATAAAACATGTATCACGATTCATTAATGATGAATTAACATGAGATCACTATGTAACTATGACGTAGCTTGTTCTTAATACATAAGTATCAGTATATTATTTGAGCCCTGTCAAGTGAAGTGTTACCATCACTTTAAATAAAGTTCAAATATATCAATGCAAAAGAAATTGACTGACTCAATAGATGTAAGCATACTTGGCTTTAGTAATTACCAGAAAAGAAGAAACATGGTATACCTAGACATATTTTATGGTTTTATTATTTTTTTATTACAGAATGATAAGTGAGTTAAGAATAATAAAAAGTGATCCATTATAAAGTGTGTTTGGACTTTACTCTTTTTCTTACAGACATAGATGTCAACAGACCACGGATTTCCAAGAGCTGGGTGTTCCCAGTGGCTGTGCTGGCATCAGCGATCTTCATCTCTGTCTTCATCGGCCTGGCAGCGAAGGGCAGGCTCATCTACCGCTACCTGGCCAGCTACCGGCACACCCTGCTGCCCGAGGTTGATGCGGTGAGTCAGGGAGTCCCCGTGGGCCAGGAGATGAGCCTCTCCGGGTATGACGTGGCGGATCTGGGGCGACACAGCGGCGCCTGCGAGGAGATGGATGACGACGGCTTCATCGAGGACAACTACATCCAGGACTGCGAGCGGGAGCGGGCTCAGCGGGCCGCCGAGGAAGTGGAGGAGGACGACGGGAGCGCCGATGTTCAATTTTCCATTGGTTAACGACCTGCAAAGAGGAGGAAAGAGAAGATACAGACCCAGCCCGAGGTGCCTCAGGACATCTGACCCTTTACTAAGGCGAAATTTATTAAAAATATGGCCGATTCACAATGTTTTTACGTGATGTAGGAAACTGTGACGCTCGGAGCCATAAGCTGTGGATAGATTTATGCAGGCGTGACCTATGCTGTTTAATATTGTATGATATACGCAATCATAAATAATACGCTTTTGTAGTTCTCATGACAGGAATTTTGTCCGCACACTCCACTGGTAACATACAAAGTCAGAACTACCTCAAGCAGGTCATACAGATTTATAAAAAATGTTTGTTTTTTTTCCAGTCTTCCTAAATTTCATTTTTAACAATTTAAGGCAAAGTCACAGGCAGGTAGAATTTAAGTAAGAAAATTAATTCAGGAGACTAAATATAGATTTTATCTGTGCTGTTTTTCTACTTGATTTGATTTCCTTCTTACCGTAATCTCTGGGCTTATAGAGGCTGGACAGAATGTAGTATATTAATATCAAGGAACCCATGAAGAGTAGAGCCACTCTTTGCATTGAAATCATCTTCACTCCTTCTTGGAATGATGTCATACATACTAGTCCTGCTTTATGCGTAGTGGGATACTGGGCTATTCTTCACAGCGGAAGGCCTCCAGTTCTTTGAGGGATTAAGCTATTTTCCACACTGTGCTCCACAACTCCCCATAAAGGTGGTTTGATATTCTGATATAGTGATTGACAGTGTTGGGCATTTCAGGTCCAGAGGCCACAAATCCAGACCAAGATTTTGTTTCTACCAACCAGTTCAGTATAAACAGTCACAGTCACAGAGACCTCAACTGGTTGGTAGAAACAAAATCTTGGTCTGGATTTGTGGCTTCTGGATCTGACATGCCTAACACTTGTGTTCATGAATCCACTTTAGTATTTGTTTAGCTTTCTGACTGGGGGAATTATCATCTTGGAACAAGGAAACATTATGACAGAAGACTGTCTACAGTACAGGGTGCAGATGGTCCTGTAAAGCTGCTTCATAATCTTTGGCTGTTATATGACCATACAGAACAATCGTAAGATCTAAGGCCTTAAGTGAGACGGCTGCCCATTCCAGCTGACGCTGTGGGTCGAAAGTATCCTTTTATCAAAGAATCAACAATAGTAGTCAATAGTGATGGGACTGCCAGCAGTGATAAGGACATTTCTGGCCGATACCAATAGCCACTTATTTCAAAAACTGACACTGATACCGATGATGATTGTTTGGGAAGTTCTGCTTAAATAAGTTAAATGGACACTCCACCCAAATAAAAAAATAAATAAATTACATTATAAAAATATGAAAAAGTATTTATTTTCAGGAAAGAAAACACCAACTTTGGCATACAACAGTCCCAGAGCATTATATTTTATTATTGTATACATCTCCTATATTTATAACAGAGAAGGGCTGATCATTAGTGTGATAAACTCCATAATTTTCCAAGTAATATCTTTTGATTTTTCACTGCCTGCATTGAATTTTCTTTCGCTATCAATCACTTGCATTACTGATAGACTAGTGTAGCAGTACTGCAGCCTTATTTATCGGAACAGATTTGTTTTTCAGAAACTCTTCACTGACTCACCTCAAGGTGAGCAATCAAATTTGTTGTGTTGAAATGCTTATTAATAGATTCTCCTTGTGAAATTTTTCCTGAGCAATGTTTGCAAAATGCGTTTCTAGTCGCAGGATTGCCAGCTCTCACGCATCTGGCCTGACTCTCACGCTTTCTGACTCTCACACATCTGGCCTGACTCTCACGCTTTCTGACTCTCACGCATCTGGCCTGACTCTTACACTTTCTGACTCTCACGCATCTGGCCTGACTCTCACACATCTGGCCTGACTCTCACGCTTTCTGACTGTCACGCATCTGGCCTGACTCACGCTTTCTGACTCTCACGCATCTGGCCTGATTCACGCTTTCTGACTCTCACGCATCTGGCCTGACTTACACTTTCTGACTCTCACGCATGTGGCCTGACTCTCACGCTTTCTGACTCTCACGGTCAGGCAAGAAATCTTGCAGCAAATCTATATTATTCCATTATAACCAACATCAAAAGCCTTGAGGTAGTTTACAGACCCTACAGACTATTTACAAGATAATAAAACTCTTACATAGATGTAAATGAGTGAGCGGACTTGTCTAGAGTTGAAAATCGCATGCCAGTCGGCTGACCAAAGTTGGTAACCTTGTAGTGGTCAGTAGTCTATGGATAGTTTATTGAGAAGCTCAGGAGACAAAGTAGCAAAGTAAAACAAAAAGCAAAGAGATGAGACCCAGACTCCTGCCAAGTGAACTCTTGCATCCCCCTGGAGGGGTGACCTTGTTCTTAAATATTCTTGATACATAATGTGCATGATGGTTTAATTAATGGAAAGAACGTTATGAAATCTCCAGGAGTATATCTGATCAGAACCTGTGCATACGAGGCGTCCATTTACAGATACAAGTGGCCTTGTAGGCTGGTACAAAGATGGCTCTCAGGCATCTGTTTCAGTCCTAGAGACCCCACTTAATCCAAATCATAGACAGACTGAAGGCTGTCAAACTATAAACTAGGATAAAGAGAACAACGGAGAAACAGAAGGGTTCTTCAGTGACCCTGAACACATCTGTGATCTGGGCCCAAGCAGAACTCCCTAACCTTCTACCCAATTATAAAAAAAATAATAGTTAATCACAGAGTCTGATAATTAATAAATGATGAATGAGCGATTTCACACTTTAGTTTTTGCCAAACATAAACCTGTCCAGATGTACGTATAAGGGTGACTCATCCCTTTTACATGAGCTTATGTAGGTTTGTGCATCAGCACTAGATAAACACTGTTTCAAAACAGAAGTCCTGCCATAAAGCTTTGTGAAGGTCATAAAGTGCCATTTTTGCTGAGACTAGGTCATAAAGGAGCTGATTCAGTTTTCAGTTTCTCAGACTGTACTTTTCTGATGTTTTGCAAATATTCAGATAAATGTATTGCTGTCCGCTTGCCTTTCCCTTGTGACCAAAGGTCCTCCAATCCAAAGCTGATTTTCGGAACCTCTTTTATAGCTGACACGTTGCTAATTGGCATTCAACTAAATAGAAGTATCATTTGTAGAAGCTTTTGTAATTATAATTTTGTCACATCAAAGTTAAAATGCTTTTTTCATGTGCTGTCTTGGGTTTTTTTTTTGTTGTCCACCACCTGTACCTCTGTATAGTCAAACGAAAGTGATGTAACAAGTCTGCCTGACTACTGTATTTCTTTATACATTAAAATGCAAATCTAGATATAATTTAGTTTGGTTTCTCCAGCAAGCCAATTTCTTGACTCCCCAGGGCATTTTTACACATTGCAGTAGAACTGATAGATCTAGAGTCAATATGATTAAATTTAACCATATAAACTGCGTGTTATTATTATTATTTCAATTTGAATCAACAATATACCATTTTTAAGTGTTGCAGATTTATTTAATGTTAAAAATATATTGCTTTTGCGCAAGAGCTGGGCATTAAATAGATGTCAAAATTGGAAACGTCTAAATATCGCGTGAACATTTCAGTTTGAGTATTTAATGAACCCGGCGCGGTGCAGCCCGCTGCAGAACGACTTTGCACGGCTCACCTCATCCCAGAGGCATTGCTTATAGTGCGGGGAGCCCGAAGGTCATACACCTTCTCCTGTTTAGGCTCGGGGTGACATTTTACACGCCCATATGCGTTACAGTAAGCCCGGATCTGCCGGCCAAGCATGGGGAGGAGAGGCTGAGGTCCGCCAGCGCTGAGCCGGCTCCACATGGAGGCTCACCAAAGCCGCTCGGCTGGTCTGTTTCGCCGCAGGACCCGGAAGAAGGAACGGATCACCCTGCTCAGGCTGCGCCCATTTAATCGGGAGGTTACAAATCAATAAAACATAATAATAACAATACATAATAAATAAATAGCACGGCGATATCGGCCGGAGTCGGTGCCCACTTGTCTCCCTTGTATGGTGGGCAGGGATGTCGGCGTCCGCGATATTTATCCTGGACTTGAAGGGGAAGGTAAGTGGAATAAAAAGTTTGCGTTTTACGGGTGTCGCCTGCTGGGTTTCTCACATCAACAGGTAGCGGTCCGGATAAATTAGCAGCGCTGGGTTTGGATCCCGGCCCCGTGCACGAAGCTTAGTGCAGACTCCTGGGGGTCATTTGCAACCGATTTATTGTCAGATATATGAACAATACGGAGCGATTCCTGGCGTTTTACACACCTTTCCTTATTTGCTCGCTGGTGCATGTGATGGCAGCTAGCCATTCATCTTTAAACCGGAATGTATTGACTTATCTGCCGTTACTGCCCTGCCGCGATTAATAAAGTGTTTGTATATGGAAACCAAGGGACACTGTGCTCAGGGCTGGTGACAAAAAGGGACCGATGAGCAATTGTATTTGGTGACATTTGTGCATGTGTTCATAATTGAAATTTTGGCGTGATCGCTTAGCTGCTCGGACAATTACAGGCACGAAAACCGAAGACGTGCAGCCCACCTGCTCCGCCTCTGAAACTCGTCCTGTAAGTTTTACTGGAGCTACTTACGCAAACGGCGGCGGCCACGTCGCCATCATGTTTTTCTTATACATGATATAAAAAGAAGAACTGCTGAATGTCATACATACGGCATGGACGTGCATCCGCTTGGATGCTGAAATCCTTTCGATCATCTCAAGTATTGCATGTGATTCCCAGCCACCCGTAGCTGTTTTAATGAATAAGTAGTATGTATTTCGAAATACTCCTGGTCCAAAAAGCTTCCGCAGTTCTGCCCTCTTTAATGGCATGCATGCACGGCTGTAGTAAGGCTGTAGTAAATGCTGGACCCGGGGTTAGGTCCACCCCCCCGGGAGTTAAGCGGTCAGCTGTGGGTGACGGGAGTCCCTCACTGTACCGCCGAGTGCTTTGCTGACGAGGAGGGGAACCGCAATCAAGCAGAGCCCAGTTAAATGCAATGGACGTGATGGAAAATTGCATCACTATCTTGTCACGGTATATGTATTTGAAGAACAAGACAGTTGACCCACTATTTCAGATAGAACCATTAAGTTAAAATTATATATATATATATATATATATACACACACACACATACACACACACACAAACACACCAGTAAAAAAGGAAGTTGAAGGGCACATCAAAGCTGGAATTAAGACAGTCAAGTTCTTATTTGAGAAATCCTACCGAATAGACATGAAAGACTCATCAGCTTAAGGCTGTCAATCTAATGGATTAAACACACTCAGACACAGGGTCAGATAATAAGTGCTGCAGAAGTCTCTCTGGAACATTCCGTTATCTGAACCCTAGGATAACCCATCTTCATTAAGGTGATGGGGCACCGTGTGCACTGAATCAGCCTTCTGTGAGCTGCTTTAAAAACTAAATGGAGTGAAAATCTACTGTTTTGTTTAAAGTCTGTCCACATTGGGAGTTTTCAAAGTGAACTAGGGTTTAATTATATATAAAATTTTATTGTTGATTATTGTGGCTGAAAAGAGTCTGATTTAAGTAAGGGATAACTGTGTGACATTCATACGCCTCTATATCTTTCTAGTGTATGGGTCTGCAGGGTAGGCTGGTGTGCCTGTGATCGGAAGGTTGCCGGTTCAAAGCCCCTGTTCAGCAGACTGATTTAAATGTTGCCCCCCTGAGCAGGGTCCTTAACGGCCAATTGCTCCAGGGACCGGCTGACCCTGCTGTCTCAATTGATGTCAATTTGGGTAAAAGCATCTGCTAAACAGATAAATTGTGGATGACATTCTGAGCAAAGTATGCTGTATTAAGGAGGATAATTTGATATTACAAAATAGCTGCATCATAAAGAGCTTATTATGCTAATATTTGAGGCATGCATGTCATGTATCATTTGTAAATATAAAAGTGCAAACCATTTTTTTGCTTAGTTATATAACTTAAAGCATCCGAATATGCCTATTATTTAAAGATCTCATAGCTGGCTTATTGTGTTCTGAGTTGTTTATGACTGGAAACTCGAGATAATTACCTGCGTTATCAGGTTTTCCCACGTGGGATGCTGGTAGAGTGGTTTACAGTGTGAATCTGAGTTGGCGTCATGTTCCCTGCTGTGTTTTTGAACTTCACAACCTTTGGCTCGTGTATCTGTGACAGTAGGTTTTGTTCGAATATGTATTTTTTTTTCCTCGTCAAACTCTTGTCGTGGGTGGAATGTGTGTAATAAACAGCTGAATTTGAGCGGCATAAATGATCTTCAAACGAAATGTGCTGTTTGTTTCGGGCTGTTAGACATTAAATTCTGATAATGAAGCTGCATATTGTGTTTCGCTGATGGACTGTTCCATGAGACTTTATCTAAGGGAGGGGTCATACGTGGCAGCAGAGCTCTGGTCTTCTCAGCAGATGGGGTGTAACTACACTGGACCAGTTTGCACTGTCATGGTTTTTCCAGCATTCTGCTGAGCAACATTAAAGCATGCCAGCAAGCTGTTAAGGTCAATTTTATGCATTTTTAGGCAAAAATCTGTGTGTTTTGCTGCCTGGTGATGGTAACATGTGGCACAGGTATTAATAATATTTAATTTGATTTCTGTAGCACTTTTCATTACCAAAAATCATAAAGGCCTGTTTTTAATTAATCCAGGAATGCAGTTTGCCTGCAAAGAGGAAGACTGTTCCATAACTGAGGAGGGATATCAGCAGAGCTACAGTCATCCGTAGTGCATAATTTGGTTCCAGAAACACTGTCTGGATCTTGAAGGATGTGTGGAGGTTGGAAAGGAAAGGAGGTCAGAGAGATAAGTGGGGCCTTTGCCATCCCATAACCAGCAGGAGCACTTTGCAGTCCGTCCGCCGTCTGATGAGGCGCCAGCGAAATTGAGCTAAAACGAATAGTGATGTGGGCTGACTTTCTTCCTGTTGTTAAAAACCCTGATCTGAGGAAGTCGTCATTTTTTAAAAGTGTACAGGTCAGCTCATTCAGACATGACCTGTTGATAAGGCAACAGATGCAGCCACCTATGTAATAATCATGCATGGGTGCCTTTTACATATTTACTGTATGGAAAGCCTCAATGTGCCACAAATACCCAAAGTCTACCTCATAGTTCAGTATGAATTCTCCCTCTTTAAGGTTTTACTGTGTTTGTCAGTACAGGATTTGCATTGTACATTATAAATATAGTTGATAGCTGTATTAGTGTGAACCCCACCTGATTTAGCACGAGGTTTAAAATGTTATCAAAGCTGAACTGTCTTTGCTCTGTGGACACCAGCTTGTCCAACATCTCATTCTGAAACTAAGGAATTATTATGAAGTTGTTTGGCCCATCGTTGCTGTCATGGCCTCTGTCCTGCTGGGAAAGGCTTTCCAGTGGATGTTGGAATATTGCTGGTGGAGGTTCCTGGCGATCAGGCAGGATGTTGATGCTGAGCTATCAAGTCCACGGCTGTGAGCTTGTGTGGTCGAGCGTTTCACACCTGACCTTGCTTCCAGACGTTTTGACCTTCACAGCCACTTCACTTGTGGTTCATCAGGAGAGCTCTAGCAGGACAGGAAGTGTAGAAAAGTGACTTGTTGGAAAGATGGCGTCCTAAGATTGTACCACGTGGAAAGTCACACACCTGTGCTGTACATTCTGCTGCTAATATTTGTTGCAGAAGGTTGTGTGACTATGCTTTATTATATACCCGTGTCACCAATGGTTATGACTTAATTAACCAATTTGTATAATTAATAGGGGTGCCCACATGCACCACCAGTCAAACGTTTTTGCACACCACAGGTTTCTAACAATTTTCAATTTATTTCATAAACTGCAGATTTTTTATTCTCGTTAAGCATTGGAAAGTGTGAGTTGTTCAATCAATCCTGAGTGAACAACTATAAATGAAAATATACGTCAAATAAAACAAGGTTCCTTTATAACATGGAAAGAGTATGTAACAGTGCATGTCTGACATCCTATTGACTGGTTATGTGGTGATGACATAGTCAAATTCTAGGCTGTCCTTTAACTTTAAATACACTAGTTAACTTGTTTCATCTCATGAAACAGAGAAGTATTTACTGTATTTAATGCCTAGAAATTTCTCTGCTGTTATAACTGCTGGAGGAGGTTACTTTGATGAATCAAAGATATGACATTTTCTCGCTAATAAAGGTACCCAAATGTTGAACATGCTTTAAATTTGATAGCAAAGAATATTGAGTGTATTTTTAGTAAATGTTGTAGAAAATCTCAGTGTGTGCAGAAACTCTTAACTGCTTGTGTACTTTTGGTCATACAGTGTAACTTTAATATCTGCAGTCATGCAGCAGAGTGAGTTAGTACTTCAGAGCTGGGAGTTTACCTCATATTGCTCTGGTTGTGTGAGAACTAACGCCTCTAAATGTGTGTGTGCATGCACATATGCGTACCCTGCGATCGATTGGCGTCCCATTCGGAGTGTCCCCAGATTTTTGTTCTGTTCTGTCTTGAAGAGGTTCCAGATCTCCCTGTAACCCTGACTAGGACAACTGGTTAGATGTTTATATATATTTTCTGGTTATTTATCTTGTTTTCTTTTTATTATAAAAACCAGAGCTGAACAATTGCACATACGTGATCCCTTCTGTAACTTGAATTATATGTAATTTTTGCCGAACTTCGTGTTTTAAGTGTGTGTTAGTTGCGTAGACTTCACTTATCGGCACGTCTGCTGACCTTGCTTGTAAAAGGAAGTTCAGGATTTTATCGCTGTGGCTGATAATTAATTTTCTCGACGGCGACCACACAGCTTGCCCCCGTCCTGCGAGTGTTAGCGAAAATTCCCCGTCGTCAAGAGGAACCAAAACTCGGCTGGGTCTGGTTCACAAAGGGAACAAATAACCCATTTACGGTACTATGCTGCCTTGATTCTAGGTGTTAATATGTCGGAACTACATGGGCATGCTGGACATGGGCGAGATCGACCACTTCATGCCCATCCTGATGAAGCGGGAGGAGGAGGCAGATGTCTCTCCAGTGGCGGCCCATGGAGCAACTCATTTTCTGTGGATTAAGCATAGCAACCTTTACTGTATCCTTTCCCTGGCTCCCTTCCTCTCTCGCAGGCTCCAGTAGAACCTGGAAGATCTGGAAGATGTTCAGATTTTTGGCACAAGTATTTACTGTAACCATAGTGATGTGTAAAACGCCACAAAGAGGCTTCTACTGATCTTTAACCATCAGCCGTTAGTGGTGGCATTGACCAAGAAGAATTCCAATGCCGCCCTTGTGTATTCCTTCCTCTACAAGATAGTGGAGGTATCTGAAAGCCCAACACGCATGACTGACATTCCCATTTGTAACCGATGTGCGTCGCTCGCATGGTCAAAGTGCCCGTCGGTTAAGTGTTTCTCTTCTTGTCGCACCGTCGACTGTAAAGGTTTTCCGGGAATACTTCAAGGAGCTGGAAGAGGAGAGCATCCGGGACAATTTCGTGACCGTGTACGAGCTGTTGGATGAGGTCATGGACTTTGGCTTCCCGCAGACCACAGATAGCAAGATCCTCCAGGAGTAAGTGTCCCAGCGGCGTCTTGGTATGCCCGGTCCGTACAGCGGAGTGGACCACTTAATGTGGAAGCTCTACATTGTGTTCTCCTGCCAATAGAACTGGTTTGGTCTGTTTGTTCAAAATCAATTTTGCTTTTTCTTCGTAGGATAAGACAACTCCGTCTCTGACATGGTGTATGTAATTTTCATATGCGCGTATAAATAATATGTAAAATTAGGCAAGTGTGTGAGCTTGCTTGTTGTTTACAGGTAGGTTCTTATGTACAGGACAGCTTGTACTATCCATGAGCTGTCAGCCTTGGGGATTCAGGCCCAGCAATCAGTGTCTTCCTCCTAACCAGTGACTTCCCTCTCAGCTCTCCTGCTAACATTAGATTTTCAGATGGGATTCGTCATAAACCCCCCCCCCCCCGGTGCGTGTTTGTTTATGACGTACTGAAAAGGAACATAGGAGCTGAAACCAGTTAACACTCTTGTGGTTTGTTTTTTTTTTGAACATATTGTTTTCTTATTTGCTTTTTAAGGAACATCAGGGCACGTGGTTAGAAATGAAACTCTGATATCATGCCCTGCATGGATTATGGCGGAGCTGATTTCCTGCGCAATTATTTTTGCTGCATGGCTGTGCCCTGCTCTCGTGGGACGACACGGCAAAAGGCTCGTTATAAAGAAGGCCGCTGAGGCATGCTGGCTGGAGTCTTTCGCAAACGAGGCCTTTGATTGTCCTCGAGACGCCCGTCAGGGGATTGATTAACTATCAAGCCCTGCCAACAGCGATCTCGCCTCCAAAAGCAGGGAACCGGGAGGAGGGAGGCTGACGAGGAGGGATGTGTGACCATTGAGGACCCCGACAGGATTCATGGCCGGCCGTGATTCTGCCAGGAGAAACCTGGAAACTGATCAACAAAGCGGTTTTGTTGCGTGACCAGTGTGGTTGGTAGGGGGAACAGGGATCAGGTGTGTGTGAGGCTGCCCCGCACACACAACAGGGCTGTGAAAGAGGACCCATGGGAGGTGGGCTGTGTAAACTCCATGGCAACAGAACATGGCAACACAGCAAACACATTCTATGGAAGTGTTTACAAAGACTGCATAGGCGTGATTGTGTAATCTCACAATGACCACAATGGGGATAAAACTGTCAGGCAAAGAGAAGGTCGATTTTACTCTATGTCTTTTAATTTTGCAACAATTCGTCATCTATGTCTTTGCAGATACATCACGCAGAAAGGACACAAACTGGAGGTTGGTGCCCCCCGGCCCCCAGCAACCGTTACCAACGCGGTCTCTTGGAGGTCAGAGGGCATCAAGTATCGGAAGAATGAGGTCTTTATGGATGTCATTGAGTCAGTCAATCTTCTGGTAGGAGGATTTATCCAAAGGAAACCTATGAAAAGTGATTCTTTGCTCTGGTGAAGCATCACACTTTATCAGATTACATTCTCATGTTAATGAAGCTTGTGTTAAATATGGAAATACTTGTGTGTTCTTGCATTTAATGTTGTATTAAATGTCCTCAGATTTTACAGTTTGATTTAGTATAATAATCATCTCATAGTCTTGATGTGAATTTTTTTTGGTAGCTGTGGTAGGCTGTAGGTTCTGCTGTCTGAAGCGCCTTCAGAAGCTGCTCCCGTACTTCCATGAATTCATCCTTAGGAAGTGGCTGCAGAATTTCCTTCCATACAACAATCGTCTGGGGCTTTCCATTAACACCTAACCCATAACCAATCAGCCCCATTCGATTATCACGGCGTCGCAGTGGAGACAGAGCAGTTCCTGTCATGCAATGAGAGAAATTTATACATTATTTAATCCATTTGCGAATGGCGTGCGATTTTAAGAAGATTGTTTATTTTGATATTGGCAATCCTAGCATTATGGATGTGACATTTAGACATGTTTTTTCACGTGTCCTCTTGGACCACAGGTAGGTAGATAGATTGATAGATACATACATACATACATTCATACTGTATTGATCTCTAAGGAAATGTAGGCATCCAGCAGTGCAAATATGCAAAAGTACACACTAAAATAAAATAACACACCGGGATTGTGGAGGTGGACAGTGCGTCTTTGGATGCTGTGCTTGAAGAATCTTCAAGACAAATGCTCAAAATTCATGTGTCAAAATGCACGTTAAAAATACCTTTCATTTTACCGGCATTGTTTACGTGACGGCAAACAGACCATTAGCGTGGAATCGCTCTGTTTGTTACTGGTTGTCTTGCTGGCTGTCGGCCCGTTTTAAGGTGTATTTACAGCAGCCCTCTGATAAACAGCGACCCTCCTTTTCCTCTTCAGTTTCCGTGCTGGGGCGTCGCCTTTTCCTGCTCTGCCCCCCCCCCCACATCCCTTCGTATTTATTAATTTATCTTGATCCTCCCTCCTCCCCGCCCCCCCGTGTGTCCTAGGTGAACGCTAACAGCAGTGTCCTGCGCAGCGAGATCGTGGGCAGCATCAAACTGAAGGTGGTCCTCTCTGGCATGCCGGAGCTGCGGCTGGGCCTCAACGACAAAGTCCTCTTTGAGATCAATGGCAGTAAGTGGGGCTGCTTGCACCACTGCATTCCACCCCCCCCCCCCCAACTCCCTCTCCCCGCATCCTTTCTGCCACTCTTGCTGGATTAGAGGGGCCTCTGACTGGTGTCTGTGCTTAATCTTTTCCGCAGGCGGTGCCTGTCAGGTTAAGGTAAACCCCTAGATTTCAGCAGGCAGGTTAAAGGACCCCCTCCCATACTAACCACAAAGGCAGAATTCAGAATGAACATCATGTATTAAACACCTACTCATATCTGACACCCCCTTTTTAAAAAAGCAATTAGAGAGTCCAGCTATCTCTAACTTTATCAATATCTAATTGACCAGCAGCCTCGATCATTTTCACTTTCCTGGCAAAAGTCTTCCCAAAAATGAAATGTTTTCATATCACAGTGTTAATTGCCTATACATGCTTTTAAAAAGTGTTTTGTTGGTCCCCTGGCCTTCAGATAAGCCTATCAATTGCCTTAGAAATGCTAGAGACATCTTTCTGTTTATTTGCATTCCAGTACTCCGCTGTTGTCTAAGATAGCTTTGCATTGCATACAGAAAACCAGAATTTATGTATTCAATGATCGGATATATAAATATAGCACAGAATTGTTTGAATGGGCTTCTTGCCAGACAAACAGTCATGCATAGCAAAAAAGCTTACCTCAGATCCCTCGTTTTTCATTTCATGCGATTTTCTCTGCCGCTGGAATCACAAAATGGCCGGTGACAATCCTACAGCCCTCGATATAGACTAACAGAGGTGCTAAGGCTATTCTTATACCACACTTTACAGTCTGTTGGCAGCATTTTGCGAGTGGTCTCCACATGTTTGCGCCATCAAAAAAGGAAGGCAGACTCAGAGCTCAGCATTGTGAAATTTCGTGCCTGTGGGCTGTCTTCATTGTGTTCCTCCTTTAGCTTAAGGGCGGTGGGCTTTCAGGGACAACCCCAGGATTAATAAATTCTGAGCTGGGGGAGGGGGGCACCTCACTAACCTTTCCGTCCAGTATCTGATGTCACTGGCTGGCCTTTTTATTCTGGAAATGAAAGCTTGTGCAATGAATGTCCCTGCTGACATTATAGCTGTCTGCTGGGTGTCTGATCTCCAAAGCGCCGTCACCTGACCCCCCCCCCCCGGCTGGCTTCAAGAGTCGCCGGGCCCCTTTGTTACCCATAAAAATGCCACTGATGCCCGCTCAATGACAGAGGTGGCGGACGGTCACCGTGAACGTAAGCGTGATCGGATAGGTGTGGCGAGTCCACAACCCGCTAGGTCGGGCCCGGAACCCATTAAGCCAGGCTTACCAGCTGCAGCTGGGTTTTATTTATTAAATTGGTGTTTTTTTACTCTCTGTGAACATATCCCCCGCCTCCCCCCTTCGGCATCTGATCCCAGGTGCCTCGTGTTTGCGCTGAACAATCTGTTCATTACTTTTGCTGTTTAACTTGCAGTTTCACATCCTCTTGTTTTTAAATTGACGTCATGTTCTTATAATGGGCTTTGAATTACCTGTGTCCATGTAAGGTGTTTTATAAATAAACCAGCCTAGCTGTGTCCTCCTTTTAAAATTGTTGTATGTTTCTGTCGTAACATTAATTAACTAACTGATAAGTAATTATTGATGGGATATTGTCGGTCAGTGTTCCGGTGTGGCTGCAGTCTGCGGTCAGCGCTACGCTAAACGCTAATAGTGCAAATTTTTGTGCTCATGAGGAGAGAAGAGCAAGACGGTGGAACTGGAGGACGTGAAGTTTCACCAGTGTGTGCGCCTATCCCGCTTTGAGAATGACCGTACCATCTCCTTCATCCCCCCTGACGGCGAGTGCGAACTCATGTCCTACCGGCTCAACACCACGGTAAGTGCCTGCCCCCCTGCCCTGCCTTCCAACTAATAACATCCTGTTTCTCTGCTCCTATTCCTGCTCCAGCAAGTCTGTCTGCTGCATCGTTGCTAAAAGACTTATTATCGATGCGGCCTGTATCTCCTAAAGTGTGGAAACATGCTGATATTTTTTCTGTTATGAGTGGCTGCATTCTCCTGCATTCATATTCACCTTTAGCTGAAGTCTGGGTCTGCTCTGTCTTTCTGAATTCAGAGCACACCCCAGGTGGTCTGACAAAGTTATGTACCAATCATATGTCCGTGGGATGAGGTCACAGGGTCACCTGCCTGTTGCTCATTGGCTGATCCTCTGAATTCTCTCCCCTTTTGTTGCCAGGTGAAACCACTCATCTGGATTGAGTCTAAAATAGAAAAGTACTCCCACAGTCGTGTAAAGATCAAGGTCACGGTAAGGTCATGGGTCTCCAAGCCCCCGCTCTTCCTTTGTGATGGGTGTTGAGTGGCTCCTAGAGAGGAGGCAGTGGAGGTTGGCGTGTTTGGTTCTCTGCACACGCTTCCATGCACACACGTGCCAATGCACATTGCTTCAGCAACAGGATGTGTGTGACGTGTGCCCTTGTAGATCGTCGCCCTTTAAAGTGCAGGACTGCCCCACCTCCCCAGCAAGTTCCCACTTGCTCCCAAAGCCGTGACCCCCTTCCCTCCATGCTATCCAGGCCCGGAGCCAGTTCAAAACCCGGTCCACCGCTAACAACGTAGCCATCATGGTGCCAGTCCCCAGCGACGCAGACTCGCCAAAGTTCAAGACCAGCATAGGCACTGCGAAGTGGCTCCCGGAGAAGAATGTGGTGCAGTGGAACATAAAGTCCTTCCCAGTAGGAATATAGCCACTAATTGAGAATGTATGAATATACGGGCAGTTCACGACTGACATAACTAATCAGTTTCGCAAGCCCTTAGGTAGGTCCGATTTTTCGTAAGTGGGATTTACCTTCTCATACCAAAACAACTCGCAAGTCAAAAATATAGTAGTAATAGGTACTAAACAACAAATATTTAATAAATGAAAAGGTAAACTGTAAATTGACTCACAGCTGTATGTCACCTTTTTGCTTAACACGTCCGTGAACTCTCTGTATCGCGGATATATTTTGCATAAGTCCTGATTTACTTAAGTTGGTGTTACGAAAGTCCAGAGCTGCTTGTATATGATGCAAAGGAAATGTTGTTTGAGGAGTTGACATCAAGTTCCCAAATGGCAAACTCTGCTAACATTGCAGTGTTATTGTAAGGGACAAAGCATATAGCTAGTTAAAAATGTAACCTCTACCCCATTAAAGTTCTAAAGCATTCCGTGGAATCCGTTGCATGTATATCAGAGGGTGGAGATAAATAGCCCCAGCCGCTCATGCCGAAACGGGGCTTCCTGCTTGGCGGCGGCCGCTCGCTGAGAGTGCTCTCCATGTGCTCCTAGGGGGGGAAGGAGCACGACATGCACGCTCACTTCGGCCTGCCCAGCGTGGAAGCCGACCAAATGGAGGGGAAGCCGCCCATCACCGTCAGCTTCGAGATCCCCTACTTCACCGTGTCCGGGATCCAGGTGAGGCTCCTTACCGAGCTGCGGGGTCATGACGTCGTACAGAGCCGACGCCACTGAAGGACCATGCAGACCTTCTCATTCATCCTAAGAACGATAACTAAAATCACTTCAGTTGGATATCTTCACTGGATATATGTTTAGCTTGATCGCTAGATATTCAGAATCAATGATTGTGTTTTGATCTACATTTTATTTATCTAGCAGATGCTTGCATCCAAAGCGTCGTATTTTTCTTGCGATTGCGAAGCTAGATAACAATCGGGGATTATTGGCCTCGCTCAGGGACCAGCGGTGAAAAGACTTTACCACACGCTTTCACAGATGGTGAAAGCTAGGTTAGCTCATGCTGACTTGTTGTTTTTGCAAATAAAGCCAATTCAGTTTCCTCTGAAACCTGCCACTGGTTAGCTCCACCCTGACGGAGACTACGAGTCCAGCCCCTTACCTGTGACACCATTGTGTCGACAGGTTCGCTACCTGAAAATCATCGAGAAGAGTGGTTACCGGGCGTTACCATGGGTACGCTACATCACACAGAGCGGCGGTGAGTTTATTCTGCTTAATTTAGCTTCATTCAAAGCTGTTGATTAGATTGTTCTCATTTTCACAGTCCGGCCACAAATGTGCCTTTTTTTGTGATATTTACCCAGTGTGATTGACAGGCATTAATATATATGTGACGTAGTAATTTCCATCAATATCTAGTTTAGACAGGAATGTATTTATGTTTGTGGTCAGAAAGCCAGAAAATCTAGTACACAGCAACTGACAGCTATTATATTAATAACAGAAACAGGGACATAGCAACCAGAGAGGATGAGGGGGACATGTCCACCCAAAATTTTTTTTGGATTCATCCCCCCCCCCCCAATAAATATACCTTTGAATATAAATTAGGTTGTGTCCTCCCCTACAATATCACAGTCTCTCCTATGCCATTGGACAGAACAGTAGTAATTAAAAGGAATTTCAAGAGAATTTAAGACGGGCATTTTGGTTTTGGAGGAACGGTTCAGTGACTGTCTTGGGTCTGTGTAGATTTCATTGAGTTTTCTCCCACAGCACAAAGGTCTTGTGTTTAAGTGCGCTGGTGTCTTTGCCCGTGTGTGTGTGTGTGTGTGTGTGTGTGTGTGTGTGTGTGTGTGTGGGGGGGGGGGGGGGGGGGGTTGTGTGGGTGGGTGGTGTTTCTCTGATGGTCTGCCACCCTCACCTTCTTGGGTAGGATGATTCGCCACAACTCCTAAATGGATTCGGGGGTTATGGTAGATGAATGAATCTTTATTTATACATTATAACGATGTTTCTATTCAGAAATATTACGAATTCAGTTGGAAAGTCGTGGAATTGCCTATGATCAAGTACACAGTAACGATTCATACATCTGTCTTTAAGTGGAAACTGAACAATGCATTTGTTTAGTATTTTTACATTGAATGTTACAAAAAGTGGGTAAATGTCATTGTTCCAGTAGTGTCATCCTCTCTGACAGTAAGATCTGCTCTTAACTCATCCCATGGACCATACTGAGTCCTGAACATATCTTCCATGTTTCTGAACCTCCTACTGCCATATCCTATGTTCTGTGGCCAGCTGATACCCCGTATACTTACCGGTCAGATTGACACATAATCATATTGTTTTAACTTTTGCTGTTATTTATTGTCTGGTAAGCTTGGGCGTTATTTTGGTAATACGGGCGACCATTGTATTTTGGGTATACTACAGTATTTTGAAATATTTAGGCATCAAAATACTATATACCACGGTATAATGTCTGGACAGTATGACGTATGATAGATAGCCCAAGCCTACTGTCTGGACAAATGGCTATTTCTTTACATATTCTGCATTTTAGAAGCCTGTTGCATTGGAGATCTAGTTTGACACAGTTATGGAAAGTTAATAACCTTTTACCATCTATTAATACTGCATGTATGACAACTCAGTAACTAGCTATATGCTATATTTTGTCGGACAGTACTGTTCACGTAGCAGAACTGCCACACGGTGCTAAAGTTCACACAGATGCACACAGTTTCACTCATTATCAACCTTAAATTGTAGCTTTAATTGTACTTTGATATCTTCTTTTTATGACAAATTGCATTTATGATGTCATTGTTAAGATAAACACTCACTTTATTGTTATATTTCACAGATTACCAGCTTCGGACAAACTAGAGGCACTTGGGCAAGACTGACCCACCCCCACCCCCTCCTCGTGCTTTTGAGAAAAAAAAACAATAGTTTGCAGCTTGATTCTGAGGACATCGTCCATGTTCAGCAAAGAACAGAGATTCATCTTGGAAAGCTTACTGGTTATCAGCAGGTCAGTGAGCAGAATACGAGTGGTGTCACAGAAGTATTTCAGAGCCGTGACAGAAAGCCATTACTGCAGAGGGCTGTCCTTTGGGTCTGTTTTAGTGCGGAAATGAACTGAATAATATTCCCATTTGCAACAAAAACGTTTCATAACTGAACTCAGCACAAAGGATAAAAAGAATTTTTCTAATTGTCTGGTATGATTTCTTAGTTTGTTTTTTCTCTGTTAATCTGTAATTGTAACATGTTTCTTTTTTTGTGTTATATACATTTAATTTGCGTATTTTTCAGGTACCTGCAGTAAAATACATTCCTGAACAGCTAGTAAATGAAACGCACTGAAGTGCAAACACCGTCTTGATGAACAAACATTTCACTTTTGATCATGGATAAATGAATAAGATTGAGGATAATGTCTTACTTACTTTCAGGGTCTTATCCAAGTTACTTTTGAAGTCGGTTACTGCATGTGTGTAGTCTTACTAATGAAAGACTACATTTCCCCGTTTTGTCCTTTTTAAACAATAAATACGTTTTCACAAGTACTTTGTCTGTGTCTTTAATGTTAGAATGTTGGGGAGAGAAGCTAACATTTAGCATTAGCATTATTGTGTCATAGTGGGGTAAAAAAAAAAAACTACCCTTACTGTATAAACAGTTTTTGGATGGTTTATAATCAGATTATTAGGTTGTATCTCTTTATAAATCATTAATAGACAATTATAAATTATAAGTGTTTTTGTTATTGTGTTACTTCCATTCATAAGTGGCAAATGGGAGGTTTGTGGTACAGTGGTTCCCATAATGATTATTGCTTTATGAAATACATTTAATCCTCAAGTTCACATAGTCCACTGCCAGAGTCTGATTTGTCTGGATCCTTCCTGCTCAGTCCTTCTTGCTCAAATGGTAGTGGACCTCCAACTTTCACCTTGTGGGTGGTGCCATGTAGCCACTTTGGGCTGAACCCGACCGGGTGACCTGGGTGGTGCAGCCATGCCCCCATGGGTAGGTCCCTCTAGCCCTGTTCTGTGTCTGGTATCTGCTCAGAGAGCTATTCTCCCAGATAGACCCTACCAGGAGGTTCAGCTCCAGAAGACAGAGCCCTGGAGTGATTGTCGGAGGGAACGTGCGATTGACAGGCGGATTGGATCAGTAGCTGCAGGGGAAGTCCAGCCAGCTTGGAAACATTCAAGGATCCCCCTGAACGGGCTGGAGACTGAGGCCATCAACAGAGATGTCTGATCTGACCTTCTCCGCATGCTGCCACCGCGACCCCAACCAGGAAGTTGGTGGGAAGATGAGATATTCAGTGTTTCTCTGATGCCTCTGCTCAACACCTTCCCATCCCTGGCATAGCTAGGCAATACAGTGGTGCCCATCCAGCTGCCACCTACCATCTGATGCTCCAGATCTTACTTTTAAGGAGAGGAGGGTGTCGGGCCAACAAGGGGGTTTGTGTGGAAGCTCCCGGCTGGATCTCGAGGGCGCACAAAGTTGGCCATTGTCAGCGGGTGAGTGACGGGCGCGGGCACACAAAGGGCAGGCTGTGGGAGCTGGCATCCGCCGGCACAGCTGGCCCTGCCCATACGCCAAGGGCTCAGGGTCGTGGAGCGGCTTGAATGCGACTCTGCTGGGCTGCACAGCTCCAGAAAGTCAATCGTTGAGGAAAGTTTTTCAGCCAGACGGGCTGCATCTACTCAGACGTCATTGTTTTTGCCATTTGGCATTTCAATCAATATCTTTCATCCTATTATTTCCATCTGTGATGTGTGTAAATCATAATATAGCTGTGATTATATACAATTTTGTCCTCAAGTGTGTAGAATGATGAGTTCAGCAAATTATATCTTTCCAGTCTCAAAGCTACATTTATCTATAATCTCCTCCTCTGTTCAATATTTTAAGAAAGTTTTAAATGTCCTCCTACCCCTTTCCTGGCATCTAATTCTGTTTTCCTGAAGACATATGGAAGATCAGAAGCAGCAAAATTCACGCTAGCCAGCTCATAAAATAGCCACAAACCAGCAGAATTCCACACAACAGGAGGTTACACAGGAAAATATTCATTTTATTACTTGCAGAAATAGAACAAATTAGTTAATTGATTTCTAGTATAGAAAAATAAATATTATTATTGAATTTCAATGGAAGTTCTGTGCAACACAATAAACTTAAGTTTTCAGAATTTGGTTTGTAAGTGAAGCCATTATTCCACATTGATATTTGCAATAGCATTGTTCATTTCCCCTTTATGACCCTGAGATCAGAGTCATCCTCCACCAAGCAGCAGATTGATAAGTGCATCCAGTATGACATCACGCAAGGTTAAGGGATGAGGGAATTCTCAGCTAAAAAGCTATTTGTCTCATTTAATCACTGATTCCTGCATGGATGTAGAGCATCAATAGATACCACTTCAATGACACAGTGCCTCATAACTAAGCACGTCGGTGGTAGAAAAATTTGTATCAACATAACATCGATCAATTCTCTTATAATGTTTCGTCAGATTTCTCTCTGTGGAAATTTGCTCTTTTGAAGGTGTGGCCTTTCAGATCTTCAGCTTCAGCTTCTTAAGGCATTTCTCAGTGCAACTGTGGCCTCATGATAATTTGGATGAATATGTATTACAGTCAGACATTTCTTCTAAATCGATTTGGATCTGAAGGTCATCCACACACCAGACCTTTCCTCAGATGAGGTTAGCCAAGCTGGAGGTCGTCTCTCTGCGGCCCTGGTTCATGTGGCCCGACACGGTGAACACCTCCACCGCCCGATCTCGGAGCCCTTGGGGATTGCCGATTCTGTCCTGGAGAAAGACCGCGGCGGAGTAGACGGCGACGGCCAGTACGGTGACCCCGCCGACGGACAGCAGCACCACGCTGGAGATGAACATGTCGTTGAGGGCCAGTCCGGGCCGGGGCAGGCCGTTGGCGATGGCCAGTTTGAGCAGCACGGCCCCGCACATCAGCAGCGCCAGTCCGGCGAGCACTAGGACCATGAGGTCGAGCAGGCCGCCACTCTTCAGCACGTCGATGCGGCGACGGCTGCGTACGCAGTTCATGTCCTGCACAGCGGAGCTGAGCAGCTGCTTCAGGAGCACGGCGAGCGCCAGGAGGCAGAGCGCCGTTCCCGCGCCCAGGCGCCACTCGCTGGACATGCTGGTGGTGGAAGAGAGCAGCACGATGCCGCCCAACCCGCAGGCCACGATCAGCGCCACCGCCGCGCAGAAGCACAGCAGCGACCGCCGCGGCTGCCGGAACCACCACAGCTCCACCTGCTCTTCCAGAACATTCCGCTGGATCAGCGCTGGGTCGGCCTGGCTGCGGGCCGGAGGCGAGAAGTCCTCCATTTCCGGCATGTTCCACGGCCGGCCCCGCCCACTGGGTCGGCTCCCCTGCGTACAATCAGACACCTGGGGACGTCGAAACACGGCGATCACTATCCCACATGCGAAATCCAGGGGGCTGCGCCCCACCCACCCTGCACTGCAAATCAGTAAACCTGCCCAACCAATCCGATGGCACCATCCCCTTATTAAATCCCAGACAATAAGACTTACAAAATCAGTTGGGGGCAATCCGTCCAGATGTGAACAAATGGGGCAACTGCATTTTATTTTTCAATATGGGACAATCCTGTAAAATCCTGGGCAGGTGGTGGTTCAGGTTTAAAATCTTATTAAACAAGGTTAACAGCAGGCCCTGGGCTTGTGCCCGGGTAACCCCATGCGGTAAAGCACCCCGCCCATTCGGTAATAATCTGCCCATTTTTATGAGCACCACCCTGCCCCCCCTACTCAGAAGTTTTTACCCCGCATGCTGATTAGCAGATTATTGACTTTACATCTCTCCCATTTCTCTATCGGCTCTGGGACCCAGAAAAAGCAACCCAGCCACCAAACCCCCCCGTAATTATAACTGGCCCCTGATGGCCACCCCAATCAAAATTTTCTACAGCTGCCACGGTCCCTAACCACCTCCATTCCTGCTGAAGTGAAAATAGCAAAATGCAATTAAAAATCTCACACACAGCTGCTGACAGCTGGGCTAATCCCCCTGACATGACATGACACCTGACCTACACAAATCACCGTTCACTAATATTTTGCGGCCATGTCTTTGAAAGGAGGTGCTGAGATTACGGCATTAGGAAACACCCCCCCTCCCTTGTCATGGGCTCCAGCATCAATCCTTTCACTGACAGTCCCCCCTCCCCCCCACAGCCACAGCAGCCCTCAAGGTTTCCATGTGGACAGCTTGTCTTTACCATCCCATCAGAAGCGTCCTTCCTCATCAACCTCACCATGATGCTCAACGGCAGGAATTACAGGCTCCTGCCCAGAGTCTCTGCATAAACTAAAGATGCATTTGCATTGGACAAGACAGCCTGTTCCCCAAGTCTGTAGATGAAGCAATTTAGCGACCGGCTCAAGTCAAATAATTACTAAAGCAAGTCATTCACATAACATTAAATACATCCATCAATCCATCTATTGTCTGTACCCGCTTATGCAGGTTCACGGGGGGGCTGGAGCCTATTCCGGAAGCTACGGGCGCAAGGCAAGGAACAACCCAGGATGGGGCGCCAACCCATCGCAGAACGTTAAATACTTGCAGTACATGACATACACAGTGCTGGTCAAAGCCCATCCACTTTCATAGGCGGGCGGGGGGGGGGGGGGGGAGCTGTTAGCGACATGCTAAGTTGGCCCCCTCTAGACAATGTTGCGTATAGGATTGACAAGCCCTGAATACTTAGAATAAATATCACCTCTGTCTTCCTGTTGCTGTATGCATTATTTGTTTTTGTTTTTTTTTTATTATTCAGACAGACAGGTTTTGGCTGCATATTAATATTCAGAAAGTCAACATATTTGAATTTTGTCGCATTACTTGTAACTATATATAAAAAATGGAAATTCCCCTGTAAATACCTGGAAAATCCCGGCGCCGCTGCTCCTCCAGCGGGAAGGGGAAGGAGCCCCTGCAGAGTGGCGCACCAGCACGCGTGTGGCTCCGGGGGCAGCAGGCTTTCAGAAGGGGCCCAGCGTCAGCAGCTGCACGTGAAGCCGCTGCAGACTCACATGGTCGGCGTGCACCGGTCTGCTTTCCCCTTAATTAGTGCCTGGAGCTGTTTTCCCACACAAACGCCAAGTACATAAGCATGTAGCAGCCTGTCGTCATTAAATCTGCCTTTTGGCAGGTTGAATTCCTCGTGTTTTCGTGCACCGTTTTTGAACACATTTGCAGACTTCACAGTGTGCTTATAAAATTGAAAATCCCGTCTTTGCAGGTAGGGAAAAAAAAACATCTAGTATCTGCTGTGAAAAAATACCTTTCTTCTTGTCAAACTCCGCACATCAGGAGGGAACCAGGATGCTCTTTGGCACTTTGCGAAGGCTGATCAATCCGAGCGTGCCCTGCTGCCACCTCCCCTGTCCAGCCTGACCCCCCCCCCAGTGACGGATCGTCTCTCGCCAATCAAAGGGAACAATGAGGGCGCTGAAGCTGCTGAGCGTGCCTGCTGGACGTCCTCTCAATTATTCACGGAGCCCCGAGATGCCGAAAGGGTGGACGGCTTGCAGTGAGGCTTCCGAGGGCGTCGCCGGGGCTGATGGTTCCCCATTCAGAGCCTCGATCTCTAGTGGGGTCGCGGGGGGGACTGAGGGGGGTCCCTGTGAGCATCCCACTGCATTAAGGAGATGCCCTGGGCTGGCTTGGCGATGCTGGACCTCCTGTAACCGCCGACAATGTCCTCCTGTCCTGCCACTCGTCAGCTCTGTCCGCTCCAGTTGACCATGGGATGGGGGGGGTTCAGGGTCCTGCAGCCTCAGCTGAGGTGCGAATCTGTGCCAAGGGACTGTGGGGAGGGGGGGGACTGGGGCCCATCACTGCTCTTCCTGTGGATGGGGGGGAAGTGGGGGGGGGGGGGGGGGGG